ATGGGGCTCGGCAGTGGAGCTGCAAGGCCGGCGGCGGCGGCCGGGACCGTTGGGGGCGGGGTGTGTGGCCTTATGACACACTTCCGGTGATGTCAGGGGGTGTGGCATATGCTAATGAGTTATGCTAATGAGTTCCCCTAGCTCTTTTTCTACGAAACGACCCCTGGGAGTAGTGTGATTAAATGCCCATACTCCATTCCAAAATTAGTTTTAGGAATTCCCCTAGTTATACCAGAAATTCTGAGAAGACTGGAAGTCACGACAGAGGAAAAGGATAAAATAATTAAAGGAATGGAATAAGGGAAAATCCTCTCAACTCTAGTACTGAATTAATTAATGACAGTCTCTTGTGGGATTTGCTGCTCATTGTGTTTGTTCTCTCTCTCTTGCATCTGAAAAGTAACCCAACGTCCTTTTTTTTGGTGTGTTTTGTATATTGTGTGTGCGTGCATGTCGCAGGGCTCTTTTTGTAGCAGGAACTCCTTTGCATATTAGGCCACACACCCCTAATGTAGCCAATCCTCCAAGAGCTTACAGAGCTCTTCTTACAGGAGCTACTGTAAGCTCTTGGAGGATTGGCTACATTAGGGGTGTGTCACTTAATATGCAAATAAGTACCTGCTACAAAAAGAGCCCCGGTGTGCCCATGCCTGGAAGTCATGGCAATCTCTAGTAACGCCTACTGGGGTATGGAGGACATTCAGAGAGGTGGCTTGATAGCCTGCCTCTGCCTACCGGCCCTGGTATTCCTTGGAGGTCTCCCATCCAAATAACTTCCAGGGTCGGCATTGCTTAGCTTTTGAGATCTGATGAGACCGGGCTTGCCTGGGCTATCCAGGTCAGGGCTTACCCAACATCCTTATTAACCATGGCACAATCCCTCCTCCCCAATACTGGCAACCCACACTCGGATCCTTACCAATTTTTTAAGACGAGCGTCGTTATCAGAGCAGCTATGACCATGATGAGAGAGACTGTGATGGTGATAATCTGATGGACGGCCAGACCTGTAGAGGAAATAAAAATAAAGGATGGAGATGCGTATTGGGAACAAAACAAATCCTGGGTATGCGGTGAGAGAACCAGCCTCGCCCACTGCTAGCCACTAGACCCACAAAGCGGAGTGAGATATCCCATCAGGGATTATCGGGCCAATATCCCACCAGGGTTCTGGTATCTACTGGCGATCCACAGAACTCTGACCTGCTGGTGGTCCGTGTGCCTTGCACTTTATGTTCCTTTAAAATCCATTGGGAATGCTCTCTAAAACACACCATCTAGGCGCTAAACCAGAAAAACAATGATGTGCAGAGGAGGCAGTCTCCGTGATTGCCCTGGAATCGCTTCTCCCTGAAGACTTTTTTTTTTAGGGATTCAGAACTGATTTATTTAGTGGCCCAGGATGGGGAAGAATAATGACCATGCTGTGTTACGTGCTCAGAGCCATTCCTATGGGGTGGCTGTATGCCCATGAAAATGAAGAAATCAATAGATTGTTGCCTCTGCTCATCAGCTAGGGTTGGTAGCCTCCAAGAGGCACCTGGAGACCTACTGCTGTTACAACTGATCTCCCGACAACCAAGATCAGTTCTCCTGGAGAAAATGGCTCCTTAGGAGGGTGGCCTCTATGGGATTATACCCTGCTGAGGCCCCTCCCCTCCCCATACCCCGCCCTCCCCAAGCTCCATCCCCAAAACGTCCAGGTATTTTCCCATTCAGAGCTGGCCACCCTATCATCAGCACAACAAATAGCTGCTGATCTTCCACGACTCTGACTAATCCCTTTAAAAACCCTTCCAACCCTGCTTTTCCATCTTTATGTCTTGTGGCACTGGATTATAGAAAGTAACTGTGCGTGGTGTGAAGAACTAAAAAAGGCAACAGGGTCAGTTAGACCCCAATCGAATAAAATGAAGGAGGATATGAAGCATCGCACGTCCAAGAGACTTGGGTCTAAAGGACCACCCAACAAGAAGAGAAGAGAAGAAGAAGAGATTGGATTTATACCCCACCCTTCACTTCCCGAAGGAGTCTCAGAGTGGTTTACAGTCTCCTTCCCCTTCCCACAACAGACACCCCGTGAGGTAGGTGGGGCTGAGAGAGCTCCTTTGAGGACTGACTGTGAGAGAACAGTTCTGAAATAACTTGTGACAGACCCAAGGTCACACCAGCAACTGCATGTGGAAGAGTGGGGAATCAAACCCGGTTCTCCCAGATTAGAGTCCGCGCTCCTAACCACTACACCTAATTTACCAACAGAATTAATCCCTTATATTGATACAGTTAAGGAAGATCTAGTATAATAATACCCCTTACTTCAATACAGAATAGTGCATACTGTTGTTATATGTTATATTAAATTGGAGTCATTGTCCCTAATAGATGATGGATCCCACTCCAGAAAGGCACTTTGTGCTACCCAGTTTACTTTTCTTTGGATATGTTTCCCAGAGGGAAAGTCTATTATTTTTCTTTGTTGGGCAGGTACTTCTTCTTTCAGTCATCAGAACATCAGTGGTGTTTTTCAAAGGTTCAGCATCTGGCTTTAACTGAAAATGCTCAGAAGGAATAAACTAGTCAAGCACATAATGGCAAAAGGAAGTTAAAACCCAAGAAAGAATAAGACATAACACACGAGGGATGGACTGCAAACCCACCACGGCACGGGTGAGGGTAGCCAGGTCCCTTCTGGCAGCCAGCGGGGGGATGGGGGTGGGCTTACTGGGAGTAGAATTTCAGCGACATGCTCACGTGACTTCCAGGGTGACCCAGAAGTGATGTCACACCATTGGGGCGACACTCTGGTTTTCGGGCAAAAACTTGATGGTAGAATTAGCTTCTACCATAGAGTTTTTGCCCCAAAACCAGGGGGCACTTCCAGGTCACGTTGGAGTCATGTAGGCATGTCACCAAAACGTTTTTTTGGGGGAGTAAGTTTCCCCCACTGGCCAGCAGATCAGCGGTGGAGAGGTACAGCCTTGCAGCAGGGGCCCCCCGCCTCCACCAGGGGGTCTGGCAACTCTCGCACAGGCTTGTGCGCACACACACACACACACACAAACACACAAGGAAATGCTTCTATTGAATGTTCTGATGGATCTGAACTGTAAGCCGCTTTGGGGGGCCCAGCTTGGCTGAACAGGGAATTAGATAAGCATATGGAGCAGAGGTCCATCGGTGGCTATTAGCCACAAGGTATAGACAGGGGCTCTGGGGCAAGTGATGCTCTGTCTTCTTGGTGCTTGGGGGGGGGTCAACAGTGGGAGGACTTCTAATGTCCTGGCCCCACTGGTGGACCTCCTGATGGCACCTGGTATTTCTGGCCACTGTGAGACACAGAGTGCTGGACTGGATGGGCCTTTGGCCTGATCCAACATTGGTGTCTCTTATGTTCTTATGTTCTAACAGTGGGGTATAAATCTAAATTGGAAGGCTGAGGCATGGAAGGTGTGAGGCAGCAAAATTATGGACAAGCAGGGAATGCCATTCATCGAACCCTAGCCCGAGGGCATCCTTGAAAACTGCTCCACATTCATGGGAGTAAAGTGAAGTCTACATCTCCAGTGCCTTGTTTTGGTGAGGGAAAAGTTCATTTCTCCCCATGCAAGCCCACCAGCCTTTCAGCAGATACAAAGTCGAGCCAGGTCCTTTCTTGGGGAGGGGGGAGCTGAAATTAGCACGCTAGCATAGAATTCATTTGCGTCTGTCTGGGGTTTGGTTCTCCTCAGTGGTTCTGTTTAAAATCACCCCCCCCAAACACAATCTGGCATTGAGATTAGGGTTGCCACCTCTTGGTTGGGAAATTCCTGGAGATTTGGGAGTGGAGCCTTGAGAGGGCAGGGTTTGGGGGGGGGGGAGGGAGCAACATATAATGCCATAGAGTCCACTTTCCAAATCAGCCAAATTTGGTCCAGGGAAACTAATCTCTGTAGTCTGAGGATCAGTTGTAATTCTAGGAGATCTCCAGGCCCCACCTTGAGGTTGGCAACTCCAATGAGGATCCTAGTAACAGGAAAGATGGAGGAAAACTCATCCCTTTCTCTCCATGCACCTGCTTTCAAGAAAGAATCTGCATGGTCTGTAAAACGGGGCCTCCTGTCCCTTCTCTGTCTGTTGGGAAGATCCCTTGGGTTAGGTAGGGCTACAGTCTCATGGAATGTTATGCAAATGCTATCCGTAACATTGCCTAAAACTAATCATGCTGACAGCAGGCACATCTGTGTCCTGACTCCAGCCTGCAGACCACTATTAGGCAAGAATCGTCTTATGACTTGTGTTGGGAGGGAACGATTTGGGGGGGGGGGGGGGGGGGAAGGGAGTGATGGGTTCCCTGAGTTCAATGTATGCACGAACCTTGCTTCTGAATCATCAGAAGTCCCAGGAATCTCTCAGGGCATCTCAGACTCTCAGACATGCCAACTTCTCTTCTTTTGATTCGTTTCCCCAGAGTTGAACCCAGGAACATTTTCAACCTGATGCGTGTGCCTGGAAGTTGCTAATCTAAACCCACAGTGATGGGGGGTGGGTATGGTTTGTGCCTCTAAAATATTTGGCAGGAGGCACCATGGGGCACACATGCTGAATACAAGATTTCCTGGATTTTAAACGCCCCGTCTCTTGCTACATGGATCTGAGTTTGTGGGGCTGGGAAGAACCTCTGCACGAGACCTTGGTCGCTTCTGTCAGTCTGAGCTGACAACACCAGTTTAGGAGGAGGAGGAGGAGACCCAACCTGCCCTTCACTCAGTGGCTCAGAGTGGCTTACAATATCCTTTCCCTTCCTCTCTCCACAACAGACAGGGTAGGTGGGGCTGAGAGTACTCTTGACAGAACAGCTCTGAGAAAACTTGTGACTGCCCCAAGGTCACACCAGCAGCTGTGTGTGGAGGAGTGGGGAATCAAACCCAATTCTCCCAGATTACAGTCCGTGCTGCTAACCACTACACCAAACTTGGTTCAATAGTCTGACTCGGTCTCAGGCATCTATTTCCAAAAGATGGGAGGTACGAGTGGGACATGCCACAAGGCTACAGAGATGTAGCTGGAGATGTGGCTGCCAACAGCTGATGGCTGTTGTGACAGGTCTCGACTTCTGAGGATAGATGGGAAACGCCTTCCAGCCTTCCACGTGCACCGCTCAGGCGAAGAAGTGTCATAATAGCAGCTATTGTGCTGCTTGCATCTTCCTTTGTCTTGCAGCAGTAGGGCAGCGTCAGCAACAGTCATTCACATTGATTAACTCCCATTCAGGTCTGTCAGTGATCTAACTTGTTCCGCTTAATGCAGGCAACTGTGGAAACATTGGTCCCGATGAACATTAAAGCTGCACTGAATCTTCCAGCACATTCAAAGCCAGCAATTTCGGCAGAGTAGGCTTTTTCCTCCCTGGAAGAGAGTACTGTGCGGATATTCATTGTGGTGTGACTCCGTTTGATACTGCTGCTACGCTTGTCCTCTATGATGCTTTGGTGAAATTGTTCTTCTGACTACTGCTTCTTCTTCCTTCTTGGTTTAGCCACGTCGCTGGTCCCATTCCATTAGGGCTGACAATCTCCAGGTAGGGCCTGGAGTTCTCCTGGAATGACAACCCGTGTTCCCTCTAAGCCGAGTTAGTGTGAGCTAGCTCACAGTTTTTTAGCCTCCGGCTCACACACTTTTTGTATTAGCTCAGGAAGGATGGCTCCAGAGCAGACTAAGGCCCCGGTCACACGGCAAAGTTGTCGCGGGAGAGGCACAGAAGGTGGGCGGATTATCCGGGTGCGATCACACCCCAACATCTGGGAAGTGGAGCGCACCCGTGGCTTACCACCGACAATGCAGATTTAAAAACTAGTACCTCCAAGGCAAACTTCAGAGGACAGTGGAAGACGGGAGGGCCTGGCGGGATCTGGTCCATGGGGTCGCGAAGAGTCGGACTCGACTGTGCGACTGAACAACAACCTCCAAGGTACTAGTAAACGTTTGCCACGGGCTGCCTCCAGACACCTATGGTGTGATCGCGCCGGCG